TAACCTGAGTTTGGTAACCATAAACAAGACATGATTCCTTTCTCCTTCCTCAACAGTAGACCAGTTACACGCCTAAGCAGTATGTGGCGATAAAAACGCTTATAACGCAGTCTAACATCCGGTACATTTCTCCCCTGCTTCCACATTCACAGCGGCTGTGTGGTCGCAACAACCTTAACTGATGTGTATACCCGAATTTCAATTTGAGGAATGGGACGTGAGCATAGTGTCACGTTCAGCCTCCATGTTCCTCGTATACCTCAATAGAGTAGTAGTAATAAGGCAGTAGGGTCTTTGTTGCCATGAACCAGGCCTAGACAAGGCCTCACACCTCCATAATTCTTTGATTAATTTATTTCAGCACAAATCAGGCACGCTCCACATTATGACCTGTCAACGTGCAGCACATTCCAGACTACAAATACTTCAAATGCTTTCAGCTACAGAAATTATTTTTATCGCAAACACTGAAGTTGGTCTCTGACATTAAGGGAGGAACATAGACTGAGGGTGTTTGAGAACAGGGTATTGAGGAGAATACTTGGACCGAAGAGAGATGAAGTGACAGGAGGTTGGAGAAAACTGCATAATGAGGAGCTTCATAACTTGTACCGCCAAGTATAATTACAATGATCAAGTCATGGAAGATGAAATGGACAGGACATGTAGTACGCAATGGGGAAAGGAGGAATGCATATATAAGATTTTGGCGGGAAAGCTGGAAGGAATAAGGTTACTAAGAAGAAGGTGGAAGGTTAATATTTAGACGGATCTTAGACAGGATTAGGTGGCATGAACTGGATTGATCTGGCTCAGGATAGGGACCAGTGAAGAGCCTTGTGAACACGGTAACGAACCTTCGGGTTCCATAAAATTTCGGGAAATTCTTGAGCAGCTGCTCAACTGGCGGCTTCTTAAGAAGAGCTCATCTCCATGGAGGTAATTAGTTACACTGAAGTTGCTGCTTTTCCTGCAAATGTTTACTGAAGCAATCTGTTCGATTCGCTGTGATGGAGGAATGCTAAATTGCTTTGAAATTTGAGGTTCAGATTACGGTGATTGTTCCGTAACATAAAGGCCCTATAGTTAAAGAGCATGCAGTAAAAATGTATTAAACAGGCGTAAGTTTAATAGCATGTGTGATGACATCGATTGTCAGTCGATTTAAATTTATAACCGACTACTATTCACCATTAATCGACAATATTAAATGGTAGTTGTCCCTGCGTCTAAGCACCATGAACGGTGTTAACCTCGGTATTAGAGACAGATGATCAGTCAGCTTCATGCTTCGTTTGCTTTAACCCCCGGAAAGAGTCATGGTACATTTTGCACATCAAACAATATGGGATCCAGAACCGACCTGGGAGTAGTGATAAAGACAAAATTCCTGCTACGATAGGGAATCGAACACCGGCTGCCCAGTTCGTAATGAGCCTTTTTACTGAATTATTCCGGTTTATGGTTATATTAAGAAATTGGTAAGTTAACACTGTCACGAAAATGTGTATCATAATTGGACCATGGGACAGGAAATAGAGAGAAAAGCATACAGAGGGTTTTATAATACGTATTTTTGAACAGATACTGTGGGGATCCAATCAAAGGGGATGAGGTGAGCGGGACATGCGACGGCTTTTGGGAGATACGTTAAGTGCGTAACAAATTTTAGTCGGAAAACCTGCAGGGAAGGCAACACATGGGAGACTTAGACATAGATTGGAAAATGTTATTAAAACGGATATTAAAGAAATGTAATGTGAATTCCTTTGGCACAGTAGAGGGAACTGTGGTTTGCCTCTTCCGAAGAAGATAATAAACTCTCGCTGTTTCTCTGACAAACACAAATCTGAATTTTAATTCAGATTGTTGATACAAGAGGAAAAATAAATATTTCACACTTACTTATATAGGGACTAGGCCGTGCCATAGCTCAAGCGGTTAGTCGCTGGCTTCCTACCGCGGCGGCCCGAGTTCGATCCCGGATCTGGTCAAGTGGGATTTGTGGTGGACAAAGTGGCGCTGGGGCAGGTTTTCTCCGAGTACTTCGGTTTTCCATGCCAATCTTCATTCCACCCAAGTCTCCATCATCATAATCACCCGGGCTGGCTACAATAGGCCAGTCAGTGGCCGACGTGCCGAGTGGACCCAGTTGTACTCCACTCCGCATTAAGCGAATTATACAGTGACTAAATTGTTCGAACCCAAGGTTATTTTTATTAAATATTCGACTAACAAAACAAAAAAAAAACAAAATTCGTGGCTTGTAGTCCGCAAGCGAACTATACCGACCGAGCGACGGCTGCTTGTCGGCGAAGTTAGTGCCAACTTTAGCGGACAGACGGTGTCACGTGGTCAGCGCAACGGATACCCACGGCCGTTAATCTCGGTTTTCTGGACAGGAGCCCCTATTTCCTTGAAATAGCTCCTCAATTACCCTCACGAGGCTAAGCGGACCCCGTTCCAGACGCAATACTCCTCAGAAAATCTTGTAGCGCCGGGAATCAAACCCGGGACCTCTGAATCTGTAGCCAGGAACTCCGACCCCTAAACCACAAAGGCTGACTACATCTGAAAGACTGTGTCCCGTAAGTATTTTTAAATTGTGTTTATTTTGATAGACACACGCTATGTTGACTTCCCTGCAGTCATTATGAAACGAAACAGAATCATTCGATAGTAGGGTACTTCCCTTAACCCACTGGCATTCTTTGATGACTGACAGACGTTCCGTCCATTTGGGAGCCGTTGTCTACGTTTACGGCTGTGGGAAGTCACAACAATTTACTGTCTGAACAACAGATGTATCACATGTATGGCTGTACACAAGTTCGGTGTACGATTTGGGGAATTTGTTCTTAAATATTTAATCTGATGTGGATATTTTGAGGCGACATAATAAAAGAATATACCGAAGGATTAACAATAGTCCATGAAGCTTAAGTTTAATAAACAGCCGAAGGATTAACAATAGCCCATGAAGCTTAAGTTTAATAAACAGCCTATCTCTATCAGAAATGGTTCAGGCATTTCATATGTAACTGTGAGTGCCGATTTGCTCAATGTTTGGTTCCTGCATATTTTTTAGACAACTGTCAATCGTCGTCATTAAGTAGTCAGTCAGCTACATGACCGGGGGGGGGGGGCGATTAGGGCATTCGCTACGGGGCTTCCACAAAACAGAAATAGAAATCACAGATTTTATTAATAAATTTGCTTCTATAAAATCACGGAAAGTTACTATATATTCTTAGCTATTACAATAAGAACAAAGAAATAGGCATTATTACAATCTAACTCTGTTGTTACTGACAGGGGCCTCCACATTTTGCTTGCCCCGGCGCCACCACAACCGTAAAACGGGCCCTGGTCCCTCTTTTTGCACAAAAACTTTCATGACCCTTATTCAACTTACTGACAGCACTATGCTATAAGCCGGAAGGTCGCGGGTTCAAGTCCTGATGAGATCATTGGATTTATTCAATTGACCTAATCATTCCGGCCGCACTACGTCCCTGGGGTCGACTCAGCCTCTAACAGAAATGAACACCAGGAATATTCTTGGAATATTCTCGGGGGTAAAGGGCGGCCGACGCGTAGGGCTGACACCCTTGCCGCCATCTATGAGCCGATTATCTAGAAAATGTGGGAACCTCAACCCCTCACAATCCTATGGGCCTCCACGGCATGTTACAGGGATAGCTTTACTTTCTACTGACAGTCGTAATACACTATCTCCCGTTACTCGTGATTTGAGAATGCGACGTTTAAACTTTATAAAACACACTTGTTTCATGCTCTTTTACTTTTACACTCCGTCCACGTTGTTCGAGTATGCGTAAGTTCGATCTGCACCGTAACTTCTTGATACAAGTATTTACCATCATCAGACCACGAACAACTGACAATTCAATTTTCGCGTATTGATATCAGCAGTGTTTCTCTTCTTGCAACACGAATGTACTGGGAATATAGATAAGAACACAAGCGATAAACACATTTTGTAAGAAGTGAGCACCTTCCTTCTCTTTGCATAATAACAATTGGTTCTAATATAACCAAACGGATTGTCTTCGAAGGTCACTTCATGTGTTCGCTTCCGAACAATGTCATTAACTGCAATTATAATACCTTCTTTAAGTAGACTCACATACACGTACATCAATATACAGATATGGAGGCCTGTGTGAATTTGTAACATATTTCTGCAAACTTTCATGAGATAAACGCATTTAAAGAACTATCATCTCCGTTTTAATTCACGCATATCAAACCTTCGCTAATTTAATCAAGGCTACAGTTTCGTGATTCATCTTCCCTCTCTGCCTCCTGCCAAATCTGAGGCACAGAATTTTTAAACGCCTGGTATTCCGTAAGAAGGAATTATCCACTATTAATTAATCAATACTGACTCTCTAACTTACACTAATGAAGCACTAATGAAGAGTTTTGCACTTTGTAGTCTTTATTAAGCCTAGGATTATGATATGGGAGTGTCTAGGTAGGAGTATGTGTAGGGAAGATGAGAAAGGTATAGAAAATTCAAACGGAAAACACGAAAAGAACTTGGGATATCTACACACATATATTGGAGAATGGAGATAACCTAAAAGTAACAGAGAGTGAAAGTGAGAGCTGAATTCGTCTGGCTCAGGATGGCTTCCTGTGGACGCTGTAATGAATGTTTAAGTTGCACCGAAATTTTATGATCGGCTGTGGGACTAAAAGCTTCTCAGGAGGGACTGAAGGGTTAATTTATACCAGTGTTTATCGTTGAAGTATATAGTCTACTATTAAGGCCTACGAATTGTATTATTCACATCCACCAGTAAACATACTAGGCCCAAAAAAGGCAGATTATCACTCTTTACCTGAACACACAGGGACAAGCCTGCACACACGTGTGCATGAACAGACTTCCAAACAGCCATCTTCCACAGTAAGCCAGTTCCGATATATTTATATTTGAGTTTGAACCAATATTCTGCTTCAGTGCTTACCTTCAGAAGTCAGCGATGATCAAACTGACGTGAAAATATAAAGGCAAATTATAACTGGATGCACCACCGGCTAACAACAGTTCTGATCGAACACTGTTCCCCAACGAGGTTTGTACTTCCTGACCCACTTCCGTCGGTTTCTCTTCTGTTTTCGAGTTCCCACTATCGACTTTCCTCGAAATGGTAAGGCGACAGAGAGGTATAAACCAAAAGACAAGACGAGTAAAACGATTCTCTAACTATACCTACACAACCCAACTCGGCGGCTTCTAATGGCCGTCTGATCTCGTAACCGCCTTCACAGGCAGAGAACATAGACTATTGAGGGCCTTGCCCCCTCACCCTGCACCGACACTCTCTGAGCTGTATGACGTCACGGACACGGTACTCCTTCCCCTCTCCCCGCCCTTTCCGCTGTTCGCGTCATCCTTCCACCCCACCAGAGTCGCTTGTTGTTGGTTCACCTGACAGATATTCAGTTTTGTACTACCCATCTACAATATGTATCCTGTTCAGAACACTGTCCGTCCTGTCAAGAATTGCAGTCAAGTAGTTCTGAAAAGATAAGCGGCCTGGTATGCATAACAACAAATACAGAATTATGACAATCCATCTGGGCTAAAAAAAATGTGGCATGTAATCTATTACTAGCGCCAGTCACTTCGAACATACCTATATTCCTGCTCCACTGTTTTATCACATTCGTACTAGCATAATTTTATCGTAAAATGTTAGAGCTGGTAAAATACGTAGCAGGCATGGAGAGAGGAGAATTTCGTATGAAGGTTTAATCAAAATAATTTTAAACATTTTTTGTACGAGCCGTTTCACCGCTGAACACATAATTAGAAGAAGTCCATCAAGTGCAACTAGTTTCATATGAGTAAGCAGACGATTTACTTTTACATGTTTCGGCCATCGTTGGCCATCATCAGCAGACATAGCCAACAATCTGAATAACTGCTTTACGTATGTTGTTTGAACAGAGGTTGTTACTAGGCAACAGCTCGATAAACACGTTCCCGCGGAGACAGATTCTTGGTAAACATCTCGTTGCTAGGTAATGTCTACAACAATACGCCACAATAGTAGACGTCGATTGTTAGGCAACGGCATGTTTTCCGTGAAGTCTAAGTGACTCTGGGAGGCAAACAAGCACGTGTGGAGGCGGGGTCGAATACCTCCACCGTGACTCTGCGAGTCGTAGGAGGCGACGAAAAGGGAAGTTTCAAATCTGAGACAGTTAAATATGGACGCGATTCCCAAGGGACTTGGACCCGAGAAAGACTGCGCTGGCAAGTTGTATAAAGATGCAATAAATTCGATCATCAAATCCATAACCAGCCTTATTAGTCACGCAAAACCCCTAATATGTGAAAATATTATTAATATCATAAGACGACTTATATTTGTTATTTACTTAGTTAATTGATTACAGCGTTTGACACTGAGGACAGGACTGCTTAATGAGTCAGGAGATTAGTAGAAGCGCAAGGTGGCCACCTTCGTGTTGAAACGCATGACGTGAGCATGTCATGATACCGAAGTGAAAGAATCACGTCAATTCTTCGGATAGAACCTGCCCTTTCCCAGGGTGAATGAAGAACTTTATTCACTTATTACGCTAAATGTGTTGTAAATTCGACCGCCTCTGTGGTCTAGTGATCAGAATTATTGCCTACAGATCCAGAAGTCCCGGGTTCGATTCCGAGCGCTACCAGATTTTCTGAAAAGTAGTGGGTCTGGAACGGGGTCCACTGAGCCTCATGAGGATAATTGAGGAGCTATTTCAAGGAAACAGCGGCTCTGGTCTATAAAACCGAAGTTAACGGCCGTGGGGATCCGTTGCCATGACCACGAGACACCCTCTAAACGCTAAAGTTAGTACTTACTTCGCCGACAAGCGGCGGTCGCTCGGTCGGTATAATTAGCTTGCAGACTACAGGCCACGGATTTTTGTAAATTCACGTCCCACAGTCTTATAACATATATGGCTATGAAGAAGGAATTATGCAGTGGGGAAGACGAAGTCGTGATGGAGGAACTGGCCGAGAAAATTGCTTAGGAGGTCCGAATAAAACCAGTTTTCAGGAAATGTTGGTCGGGACTTTGGTCCAAACTCTGTAGCAGAGCTGACAAATTGGGCGAAATGTATTGTTAGTCGCGGCTTCAGAATAAAATTTCGGGGTCGAGGTTAAATCGATATGAAATATCTTGAGACGTCTACTTCAGCAGGACACATAAAACATATATGTTTGTTCACTTTTCAGACGGAGAGCACAGGCTCGTGTGAGAAGTTTTATAGTTATCTTCAGTTTTACAAGAGAATTGTGGCATATCTAATCAAAATGGAGCACATTCGAGCATTGATGCATGAATCATAAAAGTAATCAGATCATAGAAACGTCCTTTATAATAAAAAAAATATTCAACAGGTACCAGATAAAAAACGTAAACAAATAGATTTACTGACCAAGCAGATGTCCTGGCTTATAGGCAGAAGATCAAAACTATCCCTCGAAAACAAAAACCTTATATACAAAACAGTAATTATACCAATCTGGACTTACGGCATCGAACTCTGGGGATGTGCCAGTAAGACCAACACCAACATTATCCAAAGATCACAATCGAAAATCCTAAGGATGTTAGTCGACGCACCCTGGTATGTGTCAAATGAAACCCTACACCAAGACTTGAAATTAAAATTCGTGAAAGAAATCATCCTGGACAGAAGCCGCCAACACATGAGCAAAATTGAAACCCACGAGAACGAACTATTGCAACCACTCAGGGAGCCAATCAACAATAGAAGATTAAAAAGGAAATGGCCAAATGACCTGATATAAAACAAATCAACTTCTGAAGAGGTAATGTCGATGGACATTTTCCTCGCATGACATGTAATAGTCCTTAGCGAAACCATTAACCTATAGAATGTACGTAATTCTGATTGTTAATAAATAAGTTCCTCCGAAAAAAAAAAAAACAGGTACCAGATGAAGATGAAGTTGTCCCTGTGCTTAATCACGCATAAGGACATGAGGATATAGCTCCACTTACGCCTGTCCCAGCTGGAGGTATACAGCGGACGCTCACCACTTGAAACTGCGGCACCTGTAGAACAGAATACTCCGCGCTATTGGAAACCTTGACAGGCGCACACCAGTCCGAGTCTTGCACGTGGCTTTAAAAATTCCTTACATGTACGACTAACTAAATTATGCAGGATACAGGGAGAAGTAATCCTAAAACATTCAAATCCAAATGTACAGAGGCTAAAACATGGGGGCTGTCATGCCTACCACCGTCCATCTGCCTAACTATAATTTTGAAATGGTTAAATAAGTTAAGGCATAACCTTCTGAATGAGCCTGCATTGACAGAAAGCCTCTGTCTATCTTGTACAAACGTTACTTAGTACAGGGCACTGGCAAAGAGTGTACAGAGTCCACACTGACCTGGGCGCCATGACAGTGCGAATATACTCGTGCTGAAACTACGGGGCAACAAACGTGGCGCCTTTACAGAAAGACCGACTCCTCCCCTCGTCGGCTAGGAGGGCCCACTTCAATAATACGTAGCATCTAGGGGAGAACAAAAATTTTGAGCATGGATCTCGACGAGACTGGAAGCCAAAAATGACTGTGCTGGCGAGGGCCAGCAGCAGTTTAACCGACCTACCAAACTTAAGCAGTCACCGTCATGAGTTAGTTGTAGGCATGAGTTAGCAGTGAGATGGTATCCAGTCGGCAACGACGGAAGTGGAGGATATTATTAAGATCCGTTACCAGACAACGACTGGTGAAGACAGAAGATTTAGCGTGAACTGTAGTGACTTGTAGAGTGTACTCGTAGATACATGAAACTGTTACAGTTACCTGTAGTTACGAGTTGCAGATATTCAATAAATGCAATTACCAATCAAACCTTTTGCAGACTGCTTGGACCGGTTCTCACCGTCTCTTCGCTTGCGGATTTTCTTATTTTTCTTTCTACCCTGAAGATGGAGGCTATACGTTCCTCCGAAACGTCGGTTAACACCACATCTACACGGTGCCACATCCCAGAAGACTGCTCTTTTCATGGCACATATAGATCGCAACGCACTCTTCATCTGCAGGAGCAGTCTATCCAGGTTAATCTCACGTAGACGACGTGAGACTGGGAAATCATTGCGTGAAAGGAAAGACTTATATCTTTGCCAAGTTCCGTCGTGAGATGTTCTCTTACTTAAGAACCTGAAGAATAAAATGAACAGAACTAGAGCTTTGCCCTTTTATTTGCGTTCTCGCGTATTTAGTAATGAAAGATAATGTCTTCTTGAAGAAACTGACGTCGAGGTTTTTAGGGATTTACACGTTTTCAGCCCCCATGAATACAAATGTTTCTGGAATGCCATTTTTCTCTATGTATGTGCCGGTCACGGTAGTTCAGCGGTCTAAGTCATGTAATGTATTCGTTCGCTCGGAAGCCGGGATCATGGGTTAGAATCCCACACAAGGCATGGATGTTTGGTTTGTATGCTTTTATTCTGTGTTTAGATAGAGGCCTTGCGACGGGCTGATCACCCGTCAAAGGAGTCCTGCCTTTGTAAAAATGATCATAAAACTGAGAAATCAGCCCTATGTTCAAAAGTGGGAGCAAAAGGAGAGGAAAAAATTACGTATGTATTTATGTATTTACGATATGCATGTATGTATTGTAAAGGACTTGATCAACGCGTCGTCAAGCAACAACTCTGTAAACACGGTCCGTTGCTATGTTACGCAATAATAGAGGAGGCTGTGTTTTCTATGTGGTCCACGCCATGCAAGAGTAGAACAGCGGGGTCATGCAATCCGTTTCTAAGCAACGGAACTGTATACACGTCTACAATAATAGGTGTTTTCTATTGGGTTCGTGCCGAAGGTTTATAGGGGACAGTGAAGGTGACCCTGCGAGTCGTAGGAGGCGACGAAAAGGGAGGTCTCAAATCTGAGACAAAATATGGTCTCTAGTCTCAAGGGACTCGGACCCGAGAAAGACAGCGCTGGCAAGGGCCAGAAGCATTTATAAAAGACAGACCAGTCCTCTCGTGAGAGAGGGCACCCCACAAAAACAAGACCGTAAATGTCAAACAGTAATAGATATCTGATCATGAGCCCCAGATGGGGCTCGACACGAAGATTTACTGATTGACTGACCGTCAGTCGCAATGTCACTTTGACTTGTTTACAGTCAGACCCCGTGTGGAGGGGGCTCGAATACCTCCACCGTGATCCTGCGAGACTTAGGAGGCGACGAAAGGGGAAGTCTCAAA